AAAATGACAACTATAAACTACTTACTTACTATTTTTAATTTCCATAATCTTTGTTTGTTTTCGTAATCTTGATTTTATAACTCAACGTGACAGTAGGCTAAGGGCTTGATTTTATACCAAATAATTTATTCACTTTTATTTCAACTCAAAGTCTAACTCAACTTTAACTTAACCCTACTATCTTTAATATTATTCATATAATTAAATAATACAAACAATGCATCACATCAACATTAATTCACTATTCATTCACTCACATAATTTTAACTACCTATCATTTTCAATCATTTATTTCTTACTTTTACATCAAATCAATTTTAATCATTTTATTTTAAATATTATTTTAATACATTCTTAAAATTCCACTAACAACTAACCATACCACATTTTTTGAAATTAACTACAGATAACCAAAATAATTCATTTTGAACAAATTATTTCATAAACAATCAAGTTTTAAAAGTTTACTTTGAGACTTTTTCAATAGAGCATAATTTTATTTTATTTTTTCGCAAAGTTATGTTGCACAAAAGAAAAGAAAATAAAATAAAATTAAAAATTGTTATTCGGTCCAAGAAGGAACAAAATTTATATTTAGATAAAATTATGTGCTGATTTAAATTCTTTTCTTCGCCTGGTGAAAGATGCTAATGAATATAATCCAGCAATTGCAGATGCTCCATTTTGTTGTACGTACTTGTTTAATTTCTTCTTGTTCTGATTCTTGTGGTCACACATATTAATATATATATATAAGGGATCTTTTTTATTTATTTGTCTATAAAAAAATAAAATAAAATAAGAAAGACTTATTATTATTATATGTTTGGCTAAATAAATACCACATTTTTAAGAGCACCTGCATTGATCAGTTTATTTTGGGCATTTAAACGCCACTTGTGCGTTCAAACGGATGCGGCCGTTCATTAATCTGCGGGGCCCTCAAATGCGTTCATCCCATTGAACGCGTTCAGACAGTGTTCTTTATTTATTTATTTATTTATTTTTTGTTTTAACTTATTTGTATAATCATTTTATTTTTCTTTTTTATATTAATTTATTTTTTATTTACATTACACTCCCCAATATTGATGAATACAAATTTTATTTGAACTCATTTTGCGAAAAACCAAAAATATACTTTTTGTAATTATACTATTTTTTATTCTGTAATATTAATTTAAGTTATTTTGGTCTTGTAGTGTTTTTTTTTTATTTTCATGCATTTATAATTTAATATTATAATTTAAAAATATTAAAATTTATTTTTATTGAGAATAGAATGTAAAAAATTATATTATGAGTGGATAATGGGTCCCACATATGCATTTAAATGAATGTGTAGGGATGTGGATGTGTGTTTAAATGGAGAGATAATTAGTGAAAAGATAATGTTGATGAGAGAGGGTGTAACTTTTTTATTGAATGAGAGCATCCCAATGCTTTAATCTTGTTGTAGAATAATCTTTTACAAATGTCAATGAATTAAATGGATTGTGAACCATGTAGGAAAAATATTAAGTTTACAACTATGAAATTAAAAAAAAATATCTCCAATGCACAATGTAGTCTAACTACAATTCTATTTACTTACCAAATATATAGTTTTATAATATATAACAAAAAAAATAATTAAATAATTTAATTGTTTGGAATTGGTAAGAATTATTATCTCTCTTCTCCTCATTGGCCAGCTAGAATGTGGAGGAGAATGTGAAAGAACCACATTATTCTCTATATTGTAGACAGTAATTATGTCCATATCATCACAACATTTGTGATCACATTGTAATTTTTACAACAACATTTGAGCATTGGAGATGCTCTGAATGGAAAAAAAATTAAATGGATGTGGACGCCCTAAATAAGGGATCGATCTGTTTCTTTTTTCCTTGGATGCTTAGTTTTATTATTATCTGCATCCTCATTTTCTTTACCAAAAATCAATTGTGTTTTTTTAGTTGAGATAAGCTTTAGATTCTGGCAATAATAATCAATGCCAGTGCCTTTTTTGTGTTAATATGATTGCTAATTCCATCAAAATATATGCTATATCACCCAAAAGTTCAAAGACAAGAAAAAAAAAATAAAAAATCTTAAAATTTTTGGGCCACATAGTAGAAAACAAAAAGGAACATTTAAATATATATATATATATATATATATATATATATTAGGGGCTGATTCAAATAAAAATTATGTCTAGTGTAAGAACCGTGAGAACCATATTTAATGTTATTTTTAATTGTATATGATGCTATTTTTAATATTTCATTGTGCTATCATTTTCACAAATGCTAATAAGTAAATAGAGCTCTAAGCCCAACTCGAATTGCCGAGATGAAATTCTAGCGTTTAATCAAGGTAAACTTCAACAAAATGAGCCGATAAACGAGTTCAGACCTTAATAAATAGAACTAAAAAAAATTAAAAAGAAAATATATTATCGAGCCTTATAGCTCGACTTATGAGCAAGCGGCCTCGTTTTATATAACTTCTCTGCAGAGAACATATATATCGAACTAAATAACACATGACCAAGATTCAAAAACCAACAACAATGGTAGAACATTGTATATGTAGCAATTCAAGAAGTTAGAAAATATTCAAAGGCAGACAGACACACTTGATCAATTCTAAAGTTTGATTTTTCTCCTCTCATGGGAAATTTTAGATACCGTGCATTACAAGTGAAATGGTCGTCTTAAACTCATAATTTAATTAACC